CAATCAGAAAATGTCAGCTTTGAGACAAATCTGGACATATATTTGATTTAAGAAAACCTCGTGACCTTATTCCTGGGAAATTTTATATGATAGCAATTTGCATGGGATCTAGTTCCCTCTCTCAGATAATATTGATTATGTGAAGAAATTGCAGTAGTTTCTCGTTACAGTTACCAGATATACTGCATAATCTGAGGTTAACATATACTGTATGGTAATACAGTGTTAACAGTTTTCTGTTTCTGTGCTGTATTCTAGTAGCTAACTAGATTTTTACAGCTCAGATTTTGTCGTGCACAATTGTAATTACTTTCTTAACAAATATAAAAATGAAGCAAAAAAGCAGAACCTGCAAATGGCATTTAACCAGTTCAAAGGAAAGTCTCCCTTTCTCCCAAACTCTGAATATTACAAACTACATGATAGCATAGATACAAAAGAAATAAACCCAAGGAAGAAGATTAAAAAGAAAGACATAAACAATGACATTTATCTAATTTTCTATAATACATTAGGCCACACAGAATCATATTTTCTTATTTTTCCCTTGTTGCCATAGAGCCAACTCAAAAGCTGAGAGTTGACCAATTTTATTAAATTACCATTTACACTCTGGGGAACAAATATAATTGAAGTAGTACATAATCACATTTTTTTCCCCGGGAGCGTTGTTCAAGTGCAATATAACCAATGCTTCTCATACATAGATAAATTTCAAAGTTCTGAATATAATTTACCAATGTATATTAAATGGTTTTATTTCACCCCAAACACCTGCTCCACCAAAGTGTTAAATGTCAAATCAGAAAGGCCAAATCATACATATTAAAGTGCCTTCAAATTTGCATTACATTCCCAATGTAAGAAGGATGGTGACTAACACTAAACCTAACTCCCCCTCCTCAATTTTTATTGAATTGGTTTAGCCTCCAACTCATAAGGAATATATTTGGTATTCATGAAAAATGGGACCATTGATTTTATAAGGCAGGATACTCCAATTTGTGTCTTGAAATTTAAAAATATTTAAATTTCTTGTATGCTATCAAATATTTTTTTAAAAAATTTAACTCAGATCTGATAGCCTTATTGTAATGCCCTATTGGGAAAAGAGTCAGAAGTGAAGAGGTAAATCACAGAGTTTGGATTAAAGCTTGCTCTAATGAAGGCGGTGACCAACCAACAGGGCAGAAATTAAACTGAGAACAGTAAGAGACAAATGAGGAAGTAGTATGCTTGGGGAAAGATCCCGGATTTGCAATGATACAGAAAATTCTTTTAAAAACACTCAGAAAGATAAAATCCATTCAACACAGCCCAGTTATTATCACTCATGCTTTATACCAACGATGGCTAACCTTTTTGTCATCATGTGCCAAAAGTGCAAGCGCATATGGGCGATAGTGTGCCCACGTGTTTGCACCCATAATGCAATGCGTACGTGACAACCCCCCATGTGAGTCCCACCCCTGTCCATGCACATGCCCCCGTGCTCCCCCTTGCCCATTTTTTGCTTCCAGGTTGGTTAAGGAGGCTTTCCATGTCCAAAACGGCATGGGAGCCCTTCACTCACCCCATTTTGGGCCTGGAAAGTCTCCTGCACCAACCTGGAAGCCAAAACGGGGCATGAGGGTACCACGCGAGGCTCCAAAATGCAATGTGAGCACCCCCACAAATGCGCCCCATCTCCTGTGAATGCACGCATGCTTCCCCTGCATGCACCCCACCCCACGCATGCGCGGCAGACACCTGAAGACCAGCTGGCCGGCGGGAGGTGCACGGACATGTGCGGTGAAGCTGGGCTGAGGCAAAGGCTCTGTGTGCAACCTGCAGCATGTGTGCCTTAGGTTTTATCACAGTTTTATGCTTTGAAATGTAGATTAAGCATTGGAAAACTAAAATGAAATACTGGATAGTCATTGATTTACAACCAGAGGTTGGTTGTTACTGATTCGGACTGGTTTGGGTGAACCTGTAGTTCTGAGCACCGGCTGGGCCTGCCCACCCATCTTGGTGCTAGCCCACTCAATTTATCTCATTTTGTTCCCCACCGCCGAAGCCCAACTGATTGACGTTGCACACCTGTTCTACTCACTGCGGCTGTTGAGAAGATTTGCCATGTGTTTGAAGCCACGTGAAAGTGAGGCAGGCGCGCGTGCAAGTGAAGCAAGAGTGTGTGTGTGCATGCTCATATTTCTGGTGAACCGGTTGTTAGCATATCTGCAGCCCACTTCTGCTTACAACAATTATTTACTGACCGTTTGAAGTTACACCGCCACTGGAAAGAGAGATATGACTGTTTTTCTTTCAGAATGATCACTATGACCATTGCAGCATCCCCAAGGTCATGGGATTTACATTCGGGTGCTTGACAACTGACTCGCATTTATGACCATTACAGTGTCATGTGATCACTTTCTGCAACTTTCTTACAAGCAAAGTCAATGGGAAAGGCAGATTCACTTAACAGCGGTGTTACTAATTGAACAGCTGCAGTGATTCACTTAACAAATGTGGCAAGGAAAGTTGTAAAATGAGGTAACATTCACTTAACACATTTCTCATTTAGCAACATATATTTTGGGCTCCGTTGTGGTCTTAAGTCGAAGACTACCTATATAGGAAGAATGGAATGAGCTGTTGGGCAGAATGGGCTGGCTTTAACCTAAAAGGGGAGCATTCCAGTGGTGGGATTCAGGCCGTTTGCACCACTTCGGGAGAACCGGTTGTTAACTTTCTGAGCAGTTTGGTGAACTGGTTTTTGGAAGAAATCATTAGGGCAGAGAACCAGTTGTTAAATTATTTGAATCGCACCACTGGAGCATTCAATTTGGTTGAAGGAAAGATGGCAAGCCAATCCTGCATCTTCCATCTGTACGTCTCTATTCCTAAGCTGTTTCTCTATTCGATGTTATTAAAATAAACCACTCCCTATCACAGGACCCCCATCCATAGAAAACACCCATTTTCCGTTAAGGCACCACCATTTCCAGGTTGTGGAATTTCTTCTGAATAATTTGCATTAACAAAAGTGTTCTCATGCCATGCCTCTCTTTTAAACAAGTTGGCCAATGCATTATTTAAACATATTGATTTGAATGTTTTCCAGAACTTTTATAAATGAGTATAGGATTTATTACCACTGAATTAGAATGTGTGGTGATGGACAATGCCGGTTTAAATTAGTGAATCGTGTCTTGGAGATAAAATATTCAAAGATTTCTCAGTTCAGCAATACATTTTTTCCAGGGGAGACCAAGCAAACAACTGCATAGTAAACTTTTGTCCTAGTAGGCGATCCTCTCCTACAGCAATTGTAGCAGATGTTATCGCTCTTGAAATCACTTTGAAATGATATCTTTTAAAGTGAATTGCTTTGGAAAAACCTTTTGAAGGAACACCTTGTGCTATTTGCAAATATTTACACATTTATCCAGCTCATGTTAAAAAAAAACCAGGTCCTTTTGTGCAGACTTATTAAGGCTGATCTTTTGTACACTTATTGAAAAACAAATTCTACCACGTATGCCTATAATTTCAGTGTTAAGAGTACATATTTGTCCTATGGATGGTAGCTAACAAATAAAATATGATGAGGTAATGCAAAATACATCGTTATTCATCGAAAACGTAGAAGGCTTGGGACATAATTTGCGAAAACAAAACATAGTGATAGGTTTGCATAGAATCAGCTCAGAAATGGGCTTGGCCTGTCATGGAATCATGTATGTATTATAGCCATAATTAAGGCCAATGTTTATTTGGGTCACTCTGAATTTAAATTCCTAATCGTTTGCAGCCTTAATCTTGCAAATTGATGAAAAAGGAGGTTGAATCACAAATTAACATTAGCTGTCATGTTCCAGAAAAGTGCTAGGACTATCCATATTTCTAAAGCAATTAAAAAGAAATTGTAGGGAAGGTAAATTCACACAATTAAAGGAATGCACATAATCCACACTACCAGGAAGTTTGATTCTACCTAGTATCATGTTGAGAAATGCTTACTGAATGATAGTGGATGAGTGGTTATAGCTGTGTGAGGATCCTGATGGCAGTGATGACATGTCAAAGTCTTTGGTAATCTTGTTAGGGAAGGTTGGGCAATCCATGTCTGAAATTGTATGCTGCTCCCTACCCATTTTATACCATAACATTTGGCTGCAAAATGGGTGGCAATTGCTAATTTGTCCTCCTATTTTCAAGCAAACTTAAGTGGAGAAATACATTTCATCTCCATGCATTCGATGGCATTACCACATCACTGCACATAACACTCTTGCTCACATTGGAAGCCAAAGTAATTTAAAGTCATTCTGATCTTGGCTAAAAACCATTATCTGCTCTTGATCTAGCCTAATATTCCCTAATTCAGTGCCCTTCATGCTGACCAGAGAACTTAAAAGGGTAAAGGCCCACACATCTTGAAGGACTCCTTACATCTTAAGACTTTCCAAGATTCTGTCTTCCTATATATGCATATAAATAAATGAATGATGCCAGGAACTGACTATAAAGCAACATATGCCCTGCTGAGGCTATGGTTTTAGAAAATTATATTTGTTTGAGCATGTATAGTATATGCAGAATAGAACATATATGTGTTATGTATGAGCACATGTCTGTGTGTGAGAGAACTAAACTTTGGAACTAATCTAGAAGAAATTTCTCCTGTATACAAACACTAGCACAATACATGTAAAAAACCCTAATCATAATCAGATTTCCAAGATGCTGATATTTTGCAGGAAGTAAACGTCTGTTCTTGGCATGGGAAAGTTCTGAAGCTAAACAGCTGATGACATGGAGAGGGAGAAAGTATGGTAAAGTTCAAGATACTTTGGTTTTTGAAAATGCTGCTGATTAGCAGGATTTTTGAATATAAAGGGAAGTAGGCTTTTTAGACTCAGAGGAAGGATTTGGCCCTGTTGTTTACTGCTACTCTTTGGGGCTCAATGACTATTGAATAGACCTTGACATCCACTTCTTGTTTCTTCTAGGTGAAGAGTGAAGGTCCTAAACTCGTGCCCTTTTTCAAAGCCACCTGTGTCTACTTTGTCCTCTGGTTGCCAACCTCCAGCCCTTCCTGGTTCAGTGCCCTCATCAAATGTTTGCCAATCTTCTGCTTATGGGTCTTCCTGCTGGCACATGGGATCAATTTCCTGACAGCCCATCACAATGCCTGTAGGATCTTTGCTGGCTTGATATTCTCTGCCTTGGGAGATGCTTTCCTCATCTGGCAAGAGCAGGGCTACTTTATTCACGGTTAGTGGGTTTGTCTGCTTTGAAGGGAACTCAGAACCTTTGGGGGGAAATGCCAAGTTGCTGTCAAGGATAAATGAGTGGAATCAACACCCACTGTTGATACTAGAACTGAAACTGGTCTGTTCCCAGGTCAAGCATTAGTATATAACTGGAGATGTGAGGAGCAGTAACAAGAGGCTGGGATGAGAAAATGTTATTTTGCTAAATGGAGGGATGTCACTGCCTGCCCTAACTTCTTTACCTTCGGTCCAAGTACCCTGATTTGAGTCACAAAATGTGGAGAAATTGGATTAAGCCTGGGGTGCCATGTGGCTCATACAGGAATAGATCTGTTGATAGTGAAGGATCTTTCCCCTGAAATCTTTTCGATTGTCTGTTTCTTTTATTTTTTGGTCCCAGGATGACATTTTGTAGTTTCATTATAGTTTTTGTCATCCCTTTGCATCCTGAACTAATTTTTCTAAAATCACTCGTGCCCAGATGTTGAATTCATAATTCAGGAAACAAATTCATAATTACAATAGGTGCCAGAGATATGTAGTATTTTTAGTCTGTCGTTCATACATCCCAATTACCCTTGAAGAAATGAAGACGTGACTTTTTGTGACATCTTCTCTGGCAGGAGACATTGACTGTTTTTTTTACGAGTTACAGGTACACTATACATTTCCTATAATATACTGTACGTTCACTTAGTTTCCTCCCAACAAGAAATTTTGCAGATTTTTGTCGTAATCCAAGGTATCCTTTCAGTATCAGAATTAAGCCAGTCATCCCATCTCCAAATAGTGGGTTTTACCATTATGCACTAATGGTTGTATAGATGAGGACAGTTGGGTCTGTGTCAGGCTCTCCTTGGCAAGGCAGGCAGAACAGTTTTCCAAAGACACAAACTATCCAACGGGAAGATTTATTGTAGAAAAGTTGTGAAGACATTACAATGCAATTCTGCCAACTGCTGGGTATTAAACATGAGCTCTGTTTCTAGTAAAATCAAGGTTCAGATTCTTGTACCTGTTTTCCTACCCACATGATGCAAAGGACTAGAGGCCATTCTTCTTTGAGTGGGAGAGACAATTTCTATCTATTTCTTGTTTAAAAAAAGCAGGACAGAGCAAAACAGAAATGAAGGTATTTTCTTTTGGCTGTGTGAGAACAGGTCTCATTCTGAAATGACATAGCCATTTTTGCATTCTTTTTACTTACTGTAAAATTGAAGGCAAAGCTGACATTTTCTATTCCACATGTTTTCATCCACACTGATGCAATCAGATTTTCAAGAAACTATTGGACAGCCATTTGTCCAGAATGGCACTGGGCAGGAGATCAGAGTAAGAGGTCCCTTCCAGCCCTATGAGTCTATGATTTAGGGAGGCCATACCTGGGTTTCAAAAGATCCAATAGTTACTAAAAGGCAGCAAAGAGTTACAATTTTTCTGTAGGAGTGACTTGGCAGTTTTTTTTAGCTAACACCTGGTAACTCCAGACAATTTTTTTTTTTTTACAAAAGCTAAAGCTTAATTCAGAGGTGGTATTTTGCCAAATCTGTTCGCCAGAACCGGTAGCGGAAATCATGGGTGGCCTCTCCCACACGCCTCGGCTCTATGACATCCCATTTAGGCCCTTTTTTCTCCAACAGCATCTGCACGTAAGGCTGTGCACATGCACGCTCACATTTGCAAACCGGTAAATGAATACCACCCCTGGCCTAATCCCAAAGTTAATGCAACATGAGTGACTTAATCTAAGGTCACATCTGTGTTTCTTCAAAGGTAATTGGGATGTATAAATGACAAACTAAAAATACTACATATCTCTGGCACCTATTGTGATTATGAATTTGTTTCTTGGTTTACGAATTCAACATCTGGGCAGGAATGATTTTAGAAAAATTAGTTCAGGATACAAAAGGGTGACAAAGACTATAAGGAAACTATGAATTTCATCCTGTAACCAAAAATAAATAAATAAAAGGAACAGACAACAGAAAAGATCTTTATTGTCCTGTTATGGAATTCCCTATGCAGGGTAATTTTTCACATATATGTTTGTACTTTTGCAAACATTGACAGTACCAAAACTTTTCTAGTGTTTCCTGACTCTGGGAATGACACTGTTTTTGTGAGGTAAATGGTGGCATTTGTAGAAATGAATTGGGCACAGCATACACTATTTTTTCACTTGTAATTTTTGCTGAGCATGGTTCAAAAATTATATTATTGTGACCTATGTTAAGTACTTTGTTCTCTCCTAATTCAGACCATTTGTTCTCCTTCCCCAGGCTTGTTGATGTTCGCTATTACACACATATTGTATTCCTCAGCATTTGGAATTAAACCTTGGGACCTGAAAGTTGGCCTTGGGTTTGGCTTGGTGTCCAGTTTCTGCTACACTTTCCTGTATTTCTACCTTTCAGGCCCATTTACCTATTTGGTAGCTGTCTACGTTGCCTTAATTGGCTTCATGGGCTGGCGGGCTATGGCTGGTGTGCAGCTCTGCAATGACCTTTGGACTTGGACCAAGCTTTCTGCTTGCATCGGCTCTGTGCTCTTCATGGTATCCGACCTGACTATTGCGGTCAACAAATTCTGCTTTCCTGTCCCCTACTCAAGGGTCATCATCATGGCCACTTATTACGCGGCTCAAATGCTCATTGCACTTTCTGCGGTGGAAAACAAGGATGAAGAAGTTTTCAAAAAGAGAAAATAAGAGACTGATGCCCGCACATTCATCAGCTCTGTTGGGGATGCTACAGCTGCACTCATCCTGGAGGATGTTTCAGAATCTGTGACTGCAAATCTTGCTTCTTTGAAGCTCTTCTTTATATTATTTGGATGGTCTTGTCTAGTCCTATTGAATGGTGTATGGAACTCACAGTGGAGGTTTAGAGGTTTAGGTTTTTAGAGTATTTACTTCCTGACCCTTGGAAACCTCTCTTAACACATTAGTATATTTGTATAATAGAGAAACTGGTGCTGAACATTCCAGTGGGACAAAGCTCGTTTCAGGACAATATTATTATTAAATAGGGTAGGCAATACACTGGAATGTAAGAGCTTTGCCTTCAACACGGAATGTGCAAAAATCACACACAAAAGAGTCTCCATGCTGCCTAAGCCCCTGTATTACATACATTGCATTAGAACTGTGAGCCATTGTGAGTCTACACAAGAACTCTTTGGGACCTGAAAAATAATCACAGGATGTAGGAGCACTCATGTCAATCACTATGGGAAATGTAATTTATGCTGTCCTTGGGAGAAATCAGCTTAAATTCCAGATTTGTGAAATCATGTATTTATAGGCCAAGCATAGCCTTTTTCTTTTTATTTTGGTGAATGTGAATCCTGCAGAGCATCTGTTTTTCTGCAGATTTTAAAAGCAACAACAAAATGCAATGAACTTTCTCAGGCTGGTAGAGGTTGGAGGCAGGAGAAAACGTGGAAAAAAGGGGTTTTAACCATAAAACAAGTCATGCTGTTCAGTGAATCAGCGCTTCCAAGGGAAAATGTCCAATGTTATTAGTACTGAAACACTTGGGCGTTTTTAAGACACCAGATGCTTTGTAGACATAATCGATTGGCCAAGAAAATCACCTTCTTGTACAAGATTCTCAGCCTCTTCCTCTCCACAATCAGTGCCAGTGTGTCTTGGAAGAGAACGCACATGCAAGAATCTGAGTCAGATGTCACGAAGAACGACTGTGAAATGGGTTTCTAAGGTACATTTGCAATTCACTCTTCACCTGTGGACTATTTAAGGCGAAGCCAGTGTCTCCCAGGCATTTGCTCTCTTCTTTCTGTAGATGTGCACATCAACATTTCCCCATCACGTCCAGCAAGAGCTGTAGACTTTGCAGGTGCCTTCATGCCTACAGCTGCAGCATGGATCATGCTGACGGGCACATCCAATCACCAAAGTGCTGAGAAACTATCGCTTCACCATGCTCCAGAGCCACTCATTTGCTCATTTTCGTCTGGCAACAAGAAATTGCCACCGGACCAGTCAGCCTGGGTGGGAAGTCCAGTGGCATGCTGGCACTTTCCCTTGTTTTGTGGCATCCAGCATACAAAATAGGTTCTGTTGACTAGCACTGCAACAATCAAGTGTGAAATCCCTTGGGTCCACTCCCTTCTGCTTTTGCTCAGTGGCATTTTGGGGGACATAATTTCCCCTACGTATTTTTCTTATTACATTTTTTCTTCTTCTTCTTCACAATCTGTTATATATGATCATGTCAATGTTTATTTCTAAATATTTTGCTGGCTTGATGCCATTCAGATTTGTTAGAACGTCTGCAACACTCAGAATTCTTTGTCAGCTATAGGACTATAGGAACTGTAAAACTCCCTGGAAGACACCATGTTGGGGAAGACTGACATAGATCAGGGGGCCCCAACCCCCTGGCTGCAGCCCACTACATTCAGAACTGGGCCGCGCAAGTGGGCGAGGGTGCTGATGTGCATACCTCCACTTGCGTGAGTGGCAGGTGTGTTCGCTTGTGTGCAAAGCTCCATTTGCATGGAACCATCCCCTCCCCGTTGCCACCACCGCCAGTCTGCAAAGCTGGAAAGGATGGGGACCATTGATGTAGAGCATCTCATTAGATTTCCCCCATCATATTATTTCATGAGGATTCTCTTTCTGCTTGCAAAAGTAATTGTGTAGAAATGTAGTCACGGGAGTTATATTTTTGTATAACTTCTTGCAAAACCTTCACAGTAAATATTGTTGGGAATGCTAAACAATCGACATCTGGAAGCTGGTTCTCATTCAATAATCCCTTGTTCAGCATGTGTTTGAACTTAGGATAGTGCTGATTGAGTGGTGTGTGTATAAAATCAGTCCTTGAAGCTGCAGTTCTTGCAGCAATCCCTGTAGTTATCTGATTGCGACCCAAGTGCTTGGCAACCAGCTTGCAATGACAATGTCGCAGCATCCCACAGTCCCTTGATTGCCGCTTGTGATCTTCACTTCAGGCTTCTGACGAGGCAAGTCAACAGGGAAGCTGGTTGTGACTCACAAATGGCAGCCATATGACATCACTCTTTTAACGGCATTGTGAGAATTGCTTAATAGTGACAAGTGGCAGAACTGCTGTCAGGAAGCAACACAGTTAGGTGACATTGCTCTTTGCAACTTTACTTAGTGATGGGAATTCCAGTCCAAATTGTTGTTAACTAGAACTATCAGTATTGGAAAATATTTCAACTTGCTCTCCTTTTACCCAGCTATGTCCTATTAATCATAAATAATCCTAGACATCCAGCCCATAATCTCAGTGATCCCATGTTTCCCAGAGATGCAACTATACCCCAGATTTTAACCATGAAATGGAAGAATGCATTTTAAGACTTTTCCTAATTATGCCAGCAATACATTACTATCAGTTCAGGAAACTGGGAATTTTTGCCATGATATAATCTGACGTCTTTACTACTATTTCATTAGAGCAGCATGTTTTGCAGATAGCTGCTAGAATAGATTTGATTTACGGAAGGAATTATTCAAGGAATAATTCAAAGTCAAACCGTTCTGAAATCATTTTGTTCCTTTATCCCTTATTCAACAATCAGGGGAGGAAAAGTAAAAGTGACATATAGTTTACACTTTAGGTAAGACTTGAATGAATCACTGAGTGATTTTTCAATGGGCATTGCTTGCTGATATCTCTCTGAGGAAAACCTCCTCTGATTTTATATCGGGGTAGAAATCTGGCCAAGTTTTAAATCAACATAGCAATAAGGGACATGGTGATGATATCCAAATTTGCTAACTGCTTCTTTAAAAAGTATAGAACTCCCACTGCAGAGCTGTTCAAAGAACCAGCCACAGAGGAACAAGGCTGCTTGTCATGTACTGTATTTGTATCCCATGATTGATTTGGTTTTGTTTTTTCCTTAAAAGAGTTCGCTGATTGTATGACTTTTTTTTTAATGTACCTGTGCAGTTTGGCTGATTATGATCTCTTCTGAATTAGGATATTTGACCTGGGACTGCTTAGGCAGCTGCTCATAAAACAAACTGATTCATTTGTGACTTTGCCTTTGATACAATTTAGATACACTCTTGTTAATGTGAAAAAGAAGAGGAGGAGGAAGAAAAGAAGAAGAAGAAGGAAGGATGTGAGTGAATATGGATATACATGAGCCAAACATGGATATACCTTTTTTAATGGGAGCATCATACATCATGTTCATCTATAGGTGATGCTCTTGTAGGATGCAAGATCTTGCAAGATCTTCCATAGTCTTTCAATGTATTATGAAATTGTCTTCTCCATCTGTTCTTCTGTAGTCCCATCTACTCTCTTAAGTCTAACACTGTGTTTAGTTAAATTGTTAGTCTAATTATTTTGATCTATAGAATTCCAAAATTTTAAGGAAAACTAATGGTGTAACAGTAAATGCATTCCAGAGTTGGTAGGGACCTAAATGTCTCATTTGCCACTTCAGCCTTGATAAATGGCTAACTGGTTTCAACATTTACACTCCCCACAAATAATAATAATAATAATAATAATAATAATAATGTAAATAGAAGAAGAATTGTTGTGGCAAAAGAAAGCAGAGATAACACCAATAGTGATGGGTCCTTGAGTGCAATCCCCGAAAAATCTGGAGCATCTTATACTTCGGAGCATCTTATACTT